GGCTGGGCTCTCGAGGCCCGGAAGCAGAGAGTGATTCCCTTCCCCAGGGGGAGGGGTGAGGATTGGCGGCCTGTCGGTGTTCGGGAGCCTGAGTGCCGGCCCTGCCCGGGGTAGCTGGCAGGTGCTTGAGCAGAGCCACGTCTGTCCTCGCCTCGGGGTGTGGCGTGGGCCAGCCTCCGGTAGCACGGATGGCAGTGGGCAGGAAGGAAGCTTCAAGGATCATGCTGGTCCCTGTCCTCCTTCCCTCTTTTGCCTCCGAAGCAGGAGCCAGGTACTACCAAGCAAAGGATCTGCTCGGGTTTCAGACAGATGTGCGCTTGCATCCCTGTAATGCAGAGTATCCCCGTTACGGTGCCAGCCTGCTGCCCTGCCACCAAGCATTTGTGGAATTGGCTCCAAAGGAAATGGATCTTCATCAGGGCCAGCGTGGAACTTGGCTTGCATGGCTCATGCAAGCGATTTTTCTGAGAGTACCGATATGGTAGTTACTGCCAAACCGATGTTTTTAATGGGTGTTCTTCAGGGTTAAATAAAAAAGCCCCAGCTCTTCATAATGTTTTTTCCATGCATGGTACAAGTCATTAACTTTTTGGAGGCCAAAAATAATTTGCTTGTCTGGTTACTTGTTTTTTTGCTTCTTTTTCATGTAATAATTACTCTATTTTACTTGTGTGATAGGTTAAAATTCTGCTTTGCATGGAACTTTTTTTCAAAGGGGAAGGAGCAAAAGTCTTTGATCTAAAGAATGTGTTGTTTACACGCAGGAGGAAAAAAAGGAGGGGAATAGGCTATTTTACCCATATCAGAACAACTCTTAAGCCACTTGACTCTTGATAAAACAGACTTTTGCTGCGTGTTTGTTAAAAAGGTGAATCAGTTGCATGAGAGATTTTTGGTGAGAGGATGAATAGCATTTTTGATACTTAGAAAAATAAGTTTGAGAAGTCACAGTGGACTTCAGAAGAGTTCTGTCTCTGTTGATAATGAAATTACTTGCTGGAGAGTGTTTCAAATGGATACATACATTTACAGTTTTCTTCAGCTGTTAAATAATATTCCTTGAAATGTTCCTTGACCATGATAATTTTTTTGTTTCCTTTAGAACATAATAGAGAAAAAAAAACAAACCTAAGCATCATCATCTTATGGATGGCCTTGGGCGTGACTAGAGCCCAGTGACTGTTTCTTAGTGCCTTAATGGCAGACTCAGTAATCTGTAAGAAAATAAATGGACAGATTGTAAAAACTGATGGTGTTCCTGAGGAAATATTTTTAATATAAATATTTGAAAATCAGAAAAATCGTGCTAATTGTGGTGTGGATTAACGCTGGTAGGCAGCTAAGCACTACACAGCCACTTGCTGACCTTCCCACCTCCACCAGAGGGATGGAGGACGAGGAAAGGAAGAGTAAAAAACCAAGAAACTTATGAGCTGAGATAAAAATTGTTTAATAAGTGTAGGAAAAGTTGAAAAAGAGAGACAGAAAACAAAACAGTTTTTTTTAAAACAGATTTAAAGGCAATCACTTCTCCCACAGGTAGACCAATGCCCAGCCAGGTCCAAAGCAAAAGGTGGTTAACCTCCCTAAGTCCCCTCCTTTCACTTTTTATTGCTGAGCATGAGGCTTTATAGCATGCAATATCTGGTTGGTTCAGGTCATATGGTTGTACCTCCTCCCACCCTCTTGCACATACCCAAGTCTATTCACCGGGGGAGGGGAGGGCAGAGAGAGAATCAGAAAAGGCCTTGATGCTTTGCAAGGTCTTCTCAGCACTAGCATTAGTGTGTTACCAGCATTGTTTTGGTCACATATATCAGCATATTTTGGTCACACTATACAACCTGCTGTGAAGAAAATTATCTCCATCCCAGCCATACTTAATACATAAATACACTTGTCACTGTTTATTCTTCCCCGTACTTTTACTACTTCTGATCCTAACACAGGTATTACACAAATAATATCTAAATTAGTGGCCAGAGTGGGAAAATGTAGGTATAAAGCTATGCATTATACAATTCATTGAATTTTTGAACTCTTTAAGCACGCATGATAGTGCATGGCTGTGTCTTCTGGGCATATGTCTCTCTGTGTTTTAGCTTAGGTGTAAAATGAGGCTCAGATTACTTCTGCAGCTCTCGTTCCTGC